TCCTTTGGAAAGGACAAACGGGTCAATTAGGCTTGTTACTTGTGCTATAATCACTTTAAGGGGGGTTCGATTTTAGACCAAATGTAGCTTGTCGATCTCTGTGGGGTTTAGATGTTGAAAAATTATTCTTTGTTTATAATTGTTTGGTATGGAGTGTAACCTTTACGCTAATTGATGTCCGATTTACAGAAACGATCAAATAGAAATTTGTGTTGTATATTGAAGATGTTATATATTATTTTGTTTAATCAGATATATTATACTTACAAAGAAATTCATACCTGTGTAAATTATTTTCGAAGATACGAAACCGTGGATCGTTTGGACAAAAGGAATTTACCACACGCACAGATGTACTAAAAATAGAGTGTTTTTTGGCAAATCTATTTACATGGTTTTCATGTTACCGTCAAGATCCCAAGACATCGTACAAAAGAATCGTTTCGAGTCAAACGACATCTGTCTTAAACGAGCGCCGTTTAAAAATCCCTGAATGTACCCGCACCCATTGCCAGTTACGGGGGTATTTGTCGAAGAAAAAAAAACACACACACATCAGCCCGTATCCGCGGTCTTCTGCGTCCGTACCTTGGACAAACATTTAACTACACTTCCTAGCAGATAGAGGATACCCTCATCATCGGTGTGTCTTATGATACCTCGATGGACATCCATATTTGAAATTCTTGCTTATCGCTTCAGACCTCTAAAACCCATCTCAGTGGTAAAATTCTTTTGCATAATATGACTGCAATTTATATATTATTACGACAAAAGATGTCTGCGAAGTCTGTGACCGTTACTTCCACCGTACGATCTGAGTAAACACGTGACTATTTTCCACCAGATAGAGTATACCCACACGAGGTACTTAGCAGAGCATTGTCTCATGATTCCTCGATGAACATCCGAATTTCTAGTTCATCCTCGATGCTTCAAAACTTCGGAGTCCATCAGCATTTCGAATGAATCTACTTCGAAATCATCTCTTCGAATTGATACCACCAATAGTTGAAAGTCAGCCCCGTGTATCTGGAGTCACAGGGGCACAATGTCCCGAGATATCCCCCAGGATCGTTCTTGATCCTGCGGTCTCGGCTCCCGTTACGCCTGGTGTTTCACGTAAGCGGGGGTAGATCGTTGTGTGTTTCCCGTGGAATTAGAGTTCAATTTGCGAGGCTGCCGGAGTTTCTTTTCCGGAACTCGTAAAAAAAAACTCGTAAAACGTGGCTCTGCCCCTCTACCTCCTCCGCCACCCCTTCGAAGGCCCCAGAAACTCTCACCGACCAATCAGCGTGCCGAGATACGAGCGTCTTCCTCTGTGCGTTTCCCCCATCGTTGTCGCTAACGATTTATTTCGACGAGCCTCCTCGGATTCGATATCAACGACTTTTCGGGGCGCCCCCTCCCCCCCCTCCAGCGTGCGCAACCCCTTCCGAACCCCTGGGGCGGTCGAGGTCTGTCGTGTGACACCCGCCGGAATTCCAAAAAGGTGAACGGAGAAGCGTCAACGGTGACAGGGTGACGTTTTGTCCTTTCTGACCGCATTGTCGATTCGAGCGTGTAGGAATCCGTCAGTTTCCCGGCCCTCACGGGGATCGGAACGTCCTTTCTGTGGGTCAACATCGAATGGTTAAACGCTTTTAAAGTACACACCGTTTCGGGTACATTCGAACGAAAGAGCAATTTTATTTACCGATACAGAGTTGCCTTTCCGGTCGCATGAGCTTCGTGAGTTCCGAGTGAAACGGAGAATTGGAGTCTAAAAAGGGACTACACGCGTGAGTTTGTATGGTTGACGGAACAATTTCTATATTAGAAATCCGAATGTTTATTACTGTTGGATAAGTTATGCGAATCGATCGAATTCGAGAAGTTAACTGAATTTTTGTCCGCTACAGTAGACGCCTGCTTTATCACTTTAGGGACAATATTTGAAAAATTTCTTGACGACCGGCAGTTACGGAACTTGTTTGAATGACGTCAAAACATTAAAAAATCGGGGTTATTGTGGTTACTGTTCGTTATTTATGATGAGTAAACACATTGTTCGTGAGAAAGAAATACTTTTAGGACTGTTTGGTCTTGAAATGACCATTCGTTGTTGATTTTATGAAAAAAACAAACAAATTTTTGTACAAGATATCGAAAAAATGCAATGTGGTGTTTAAAAATAAAAATATTTAGTACCCACATATAGATTATAGAGTCCGATAAAGCTCTTGATAATCCAAAATATTCGACGAACCGTAAAACAAATGGCACGTGATTATGAAAATATCATTTTCCTGGATTTTTTCTTAGTCAAAGCAACGGTTGCGTAACGCGAAGCAAGCCAAAGGAGGCAAAGAATGTTGCGAGCGAAACCCTGAAGCATTGAAAAGGAGAGGAATCACGAGGAAGGCGAAAAGCTTTGCGTTCGTTCGAAGCAGGTTCGCAGCATCCCCTTGTGCTTGGGCATCGCGCGAGGGGTTGCAACCCGTCGTATCGCGCCTGCGCGCTACCCGATCCATCTCACCGCTCCCCCTCCCCACCACTGTGTGCTCGTGCGCGCCCGATCTACCCCCACCCCAGAAACGCATCGAAATCTTTCGTACTCCGTCTTGTATTCGGTCAACTAACTCGCTTACTTCTCCCTCTTTCGCTCTCCTTTTTCTTCCCCTATCGCCCTCTCTCTCTTTCTTGTTTATTCTCCCTGGCCGAGTGAAAGAGAGGGACAGAAAAGGAGAAAGGGAGAGCGAGCAAGAGAGAGAGTGTGTGTGTAAGCGCGAAGGAAAGAGAAACGTGCACGAGCGTACGCTCGAGTTCCCCTTTCCCTTTCCCTTTCCACGCCGGCCGATGGGTCCTGGCTGGTGTATCCTGGGTTCCCGCCATGACGAACGGGATGACACCCGAGTATTGCCGAACATCACCGAATCGCGACCGACGGCCGAAACGCGGGCAGCTGCGACTCCGGACGGACAAAGAATACTCTTGGAGTATACAGTCACCGCGCGGCGAGCACACTCACCACGGGGCAGTCCGCCGAGAGAACCAAAGGTACAGTGTGTTTTGATGCGTCTCGAGCCCGCGGCCGGGAACACGGGCAGAGAGAGAGAGGGACAGTGTGCCTTGGCCGTGTGTGTTGTGTAACAACAACACTGTTTTCTTCGTTCCACCGGTAATATAACGGCGAAACGGAGGGATAACAATATATATATACATATAGTAATACACACAACGATATCGAGTGAAACGTCGTCGTATTCGAGCGTGAGCGAGAGAGTGACGCGAGAGAGAGAGAGAGAGAGAGAGAGAGAAAAAATACAAGGGGCCAAAGAAAGCTTCAGCGAGTGAGTGAATTGACGAGAGAGAGAGAGATAGAAAAGGAGCGTTTGTGTATATGAGTGCGTGGTTAGGAAAGACGGATATCGGAGCGGACGACGACGCCGGGGCTCCTAAAACGTGAATCTCTCTCTCTCTCTCCCTGTCTTTCGAGAAAAAGTATACCGGTGACCACCACCGGGGTGCGCAGGTATGAACGGTGCGTTACGAGGAGGCAGACGTTACCAATAAGAGCCTGTTTCCACTCTACACACGTGTTCCCTCTTTGGTTTGTTGGTGTCTCCGATAAGGAGGCGGGGAGGGGGGACAGGCGGTTGTGCGGAGTATATGTATACGTACGGTGGTGACACGAAACGGAGAAACAGTGGGGAAACGGAGCGAAAGCTCGTGGTGAATCGACGACGGGACAGGACACGGGGGTTCGTCGAGAGATCGGTCGTCGGGTCAGTGTCATACGGTCGTTACCGCGGAAGTTCGTCGGTTTGTTGGTGCCGATACCGGTGATCGTGGATGAACGGTGTACTACGTCTCCTTCGTCGCGGACGGTGACCGACCGGGATCTCGAAGGGGGAAGAAAATTTTGGAATGTAACGCCCGGGGGCAGAGCTTGAAGTGCGTGGAACGGTAGTGTGTGGCAGAGCAGCCCACGGTAACGACACATAACGAGAGACGACGACAAAACGGCAACGGCAAAACGACGACGACAGGCCGACCAGGGACGGGTGGTGGAGTGTGTGTTTGTGTGCGCGGCAAGAGGGAGAAAAAGAGAGAGCGCGCGCGCGCGCACGGAGGATCACTCTCGCTTTCGTTCGGCTCTCCCTCTCTATCCTTCTTTCTCTAATCTGTCCTTCTCTCCCGTCCCTCCTCCATTCTGTGTTTCTCATTTCTCCATTGCTCGGCCGACCACCAGGAGAACGGGAGAGAAAGAGAGCGGTATAGAGCGCCGTAGAAAGAGAGGCGTCGTGCGGAAACAGAGAGAGAGATAGACAGAGCTGAAACGTGTGTGCGCGGAGCGTCAAAGAGAGAGAAGGATAGACAGCTCGTCCAACCGAAGAAACCGGGAAGGAGAAGGGTAAGTGCGCGAGAGTCAGTAAAACGTTTCCCCGTCGATATGTACCGATTGGGATAATATACGAAAAACCATTTGGTAAAAACTATGCACTCATCGAATGACTAGTCGTCGTCGTCGTCGTTGTTGTTGGTTGACACTGTTTTGGGGATGTCTCTCGTGTAAAAGATGTGCACGTTGTGTCGAGGAATATGTGTCGTGCGATCGAACAGTTTGAACAGTGCTTCGAATGTATTCGAGATAGTACACGGTGGCGCTGACGTGTGGTGAATCCTTTTCTTCCTGAAAAACGAGCACGCGGAAGTTTGTACCCGGCGACACGTTTCCGTCGTCCTGAACCTCCTTGCTGCGTCCGCCTGATCATCGCCAACGCCATCACCATCGGCACCACCTCTACCACAATCTCACCACCACCACCTCCTCCACTACCACCACCACCATCATCAGCACCACCACCACCTCCACCATCACCACCACCACCGTCGCAACCGCCACCACCACCACCAGCACCACTACCACCGCTGCCACCACTACCATTGCCGTCAACGCCTCCTGCTAGCCGGCGGCGATGCACGGTAGTGTCCTCGAGCACGGCGTGCACGCATCGTGCTGCGAATGTTTCACGAGTCTCGCGCGGTGGTGCGTCAGACAAAAACGCGTTGTGTCGTCTCGTGAGACGAGCCAAGTGACGGTACCAACAAAGTGCACATCCCCTTTGCTCGAGATTATACCCGGTGTTTTCGAGAGATTCGACTCACAGACGCTTCGTCGATGCCACGCGTAGTGTATGGGAAACAGGTTCTTAACGTTCTTTCTATACCTCTCTAATCTACAATCGTGCTCGGATACACGACGTTTCACACGTGTACAATAACACAACTGAAGTATCAGTTTTGTATTGTACATCTACTTTCATTATTATTTTTATTTTTTGGTTGTTTTTCGTTTTGATCACTCGCGGGGTAACCTAACCTAGCCCCCCTGGCCAGCCGGCTAGAACAAACGACGCGCTTTGGTAAACACCATTATCGACTACGGAGTGTGTTTGTGTGTGTGACCATGTCCGTCGAATGCAGTTCGGAAAAAAAGGTGCTCCGATTGCGCCGACGGTGGTGAAAAAGACTGTTGTCCGTTTGCCCTTCCTCGAAAACCCTCGATCATCCACCCCCGTCTACTCGTTGGTGCTCCGAACGTCTTCTTGTTGTGTCTCGATCTCTGCGAAGACGAGAGAAAGAAAAAAGGTGCATTGTTTATCGCGTGGTGCGCGGCACGCTCCGGCGAAATTTTCGGTCGTTTCCCCGCCGAAATTCGCCCTTCTCCCTCCCAAAGTGCCATCGGAAGTGGGAGGATATTGTGTGGTCACCTCTCCCTTTTGAGAGAAGCAGTACCGCCGCGAGGATAAAGCACGAGCAATCTGACGTTACATACACGCGTCGTCTTCTGCAAGGGGCGCAAAGTGAGAGAGAAAGAGAGAGAGAAAAAAAACTAACGACCCCGGTAATAACGTACAATTTGCAGTTTACGCGATAATAATCGACGCGTATACACGCGATCAAGTTCGGGATCGTTAAGGGTCGCCTTTAACGGCAGTTTGAGTTTTGTTCCGTGCTCGAGAGAAAAATATCGGTATCCACGAGCAGTATATACAACGGACGTGTGTGTCCCTACGTTCGTTTCCCTCGAGAAAGTTCACCGAAATCCTCGACAAAGTATCCTTTTTTATTCCTCGTTCGAATTCGATCGAAAACACTCCGGGTTGGAAATTGCAATACGATTCTAACGGCCGAAGGACAATAATCGCGTCGGTGGTCTATTTATTCCCGATCGTACCCCGTCGTCGCGAACGCGATCAATTGCCCTTTCTCTTTCGCTTTATTCCCGTCTCCTTCCTTTCGTTCGTTTTTTTGTTTTTTGTTTTTATGTCCCTCGGTTCCCTTTCCTGTGGGTGTTCCTTCGTTTTTTGTGTCGGCGGCGGCGAGCCGCGCGCGCGAGGCGGCGGGGGAGGTGGGGAGGGAGCGGGGCAAATTTCGGCCTACGGGAACGGCGGAACGTATCGCGGGGAACGGACAAGGAACCAACGTCGTGTGGACCGCGAGAACAACGGGCGCCAAGAGATTTACGGGCACGCACAGTATCCCTTTTACCCGTTCCTTGGGATATTCGTCTCTTTTTACTCTTTCCTTTTTTCTCTCTCTCTAGCCTTCTTTCTCTGTCCCTCTTTATTTAGTCGCCGCCTCTCTCGGTCATAGGCTGGTCTTTTCTCTCTCTCTTTCTCTCTCGAAAGGGTTGCCAGCGAAGTTGGCCGCGAATCGTTTCCAACGAACCGAACGGGGTTCTCGCGAAAACGACGGCCGTGCGTTGTCGTCGAATGCGGCGACGGCGGAGGCCCACAGAACGTTCGAGAAACGAATCGCTTGTTTTGCACGCGTACATAAACACGAAATAGAGAACGAGCTTGCTCGTTTTGTTTTATCGTGTATTTTTCTCTCTCAGGTCATTCGATAAGTGTATTGTTAGCCGTGGCTTTCGCGATACAAAATCTCTATTAGACCGAATATTATTTATTTGACTGCGTGTATGTTTTTGTCCGACGATCCACACGAGCAACGGAAATCGCCGGTTTTACGGGGGGGGGGCTGTGCGTGTGTGGTTCGATTTACGCCTAATTCCGCCTCGGTGTTTTTCTTCGTTTCGCAACAAATTCACGCGATAATCAGCTTAAGCGGTATTGTTGTTCGTGTGTGTGAATATTAACTTTACGGAGTACTTTTTGTGTATACATATATATATCCAACAATGAGGCTTGCTGGCTTCGTGCGATTATACACCGGACTCAAAACTTATTATACCTGTTGACAGGACCTGTCATAAATGTCGCGAATGAGCATATTTTTTAGGATCATTGATAAAATATCGTCATATAGTATTTCTGTCGCGAGATAGTGGAGCGAACGTTTATTATACTACCTTGGAAAGATATTCTTATATAGCAGGGGTGGGGCAAGTTCTTCGATGATAAGAGCCACGTATAATACTTTTCTAGGCGTTTTTAAATTTTCAAGAACCACCCAGAAAATATTATTTTAACATAGTATATTTACAATCTGTGCTATAGAAGAATTCGTATAAAAATTTCGGAAAATTTGAAATTATCTCGGGAGCCGCAAAGTAGCTTTTGGAGCTGTAGTTTGCTTATCGTTGTTATACAGGTTACATATAAACATGCACTTCGGAAGATGAAATGTAAACTAGGCTGGATAAAGAACAGAATCGATTTTCTGCCGATAGACCAGATATTATTCTTCGATCGATCTAATATTTTCATCTCCAATTTATACGCGCATACTTCGAGGAATCGTGTTATCTGTTATAAAAATTCGTGGGCCCCAGAGGAAGTACACACTCATTCCTTCGTTTCATCCATAAGACGCTGAAAAAAAGGGGAGAAGGTGTAATACAAGTGAGGTAGTTGCATAGAGTTAGCGTTTCGGATGTTGCCGATAAAGAAACCGAATGTACTCGGCAGGCCGGCCGAGAAACACCTGTCCAACGCGCCAGGGAGAGAACAGGTATCGATGCGAATGTGTTTTCAACGATCCGCTCCGATCGGGCCCAGCGGCGTGTGTGTATGCCCTTTCTGCTCGTTTTTCTTTCTTTTCTTTCTCTTCCTTGTTCCATTCCGGTGCGGCCCTTTTTCGAAGTCCCGCGCTGCTGCCGCCGTTGCGTGGGCCGTGGGTCGGACGTCGTTGCGCGCATTAATCCGTGGTTTAGCGAACCAATTTAAATATCAGCGGCGCGCTCGACGCAATTTTATATCATTTCCGATATCATGCGCGGTTGTGTGTGGGTGGGTTTAACAGTGCGCCCGCCCCCCTTACCCCCACCATCGGTCTCCACCACCTCGCCGGCGCGGGGACCGTTACGCACCTCGCAACACACGCAGACCACTGCTTTGACCGGCCGCGACGGTTTTGGCGATACATGTACGCGCGTGTCTTGCACCGCTTGGACACACATCGGATACTTCTATGACCAGAGTTGGGCGGAATTTTATTCGAATAATACATAGTGATAAACAGAAGTATCTAAGAGCTTCGTCCTGATCTTTAAACAGTTAACCGAGGTTAAATAATTGTTTGCCAAGAGTCTACTCATTGAAGAAGGAGTATTATTTTATGGTAGAAATTGGAATTTCCGCGTTTAGGACTTCGATGTCGGATGACGTACTTCTCCAATACTTTAAAAACAAAAGCTGAAAAAAGGAAATGTTATACCAAAATATTTTCTTCTTTTTTAACGTTGAATCACCCCCTGCTCGGTTGTACTATGACTTCCGGCCCACCCTGTATATGCAAACCTAGAAACCCTTTCTCCAGTAAATTGTCATTGAATTAAAAATGGCGAAAAAATTGAAAAAAAAATTTTTATTCGATGCTTTAGAACTCTTTATCTAGACAATGAATTTTCCCATCTCTGTCTACGGCCACCGTTCTTCGTTCCCCTTGTGTGCGATCGTAGACGTTACACACGTTGTATGTCTTTCTTTTTTCGAGCGGGGCCTCCTCGCGTGTGATCGGCCGCTCGGAGTACAACCGCCGCCGCGTAACGTTCGTCGTCCGTCGTCACAGAACGCGCGCGTACTTGCGGTATATCTCGTGAAAGTGCGTGCACGCATGCGCAACACTGCCGCGAGCCTCCGTGCCCGCGCACGTGCGTGCGTGTGCATATATACAGTGCCGTCGTCGCGTGTACTGGGTGGCACGGTAATTACGACGCGTGGAACAGGGGGTGAATCTTCTTAACGAGTGGGACAAGATGTTTCTGAGCAGACTTGCTGATGTTCCTGTAGGTTCGTCCCTTTGGGGATTTATAGTTGGTGTGGAATACTGGAGTGTGGAGGGAAAGTTTTCTGGTATTGATCCTTTCGGCGTGGGATTATACTGTGATTCCTCGATGAATGCGACACGAGCAACAGCGTTATTCACACCAGTCAAAATAGAGTAAACAGAAGCTAAGCTCGGTTTCGGCCAAAAAAAGGAAAAAAAAATTGAATGGCTGAAAACCTTCCTGTCTTGTCGCGAATGCTCCGAAGCGGACCCGAGTACGTCGCATTCATCGAGACATTACTGTATAAAGCTCAATGAATAACGCTACTACGAAGTAATAATCGCGGAATGTAAACAAGAAAATCTTTTTGAAAACCTTCAATTTCTTCATACACAGATATTAGGTGTCCTAATATCACGGTACTTCAGCTTTGTTCATCCATAAACCAGTTAAGCAATAACTCATCGCGTACAGAACGCCTCCAAAACGACTACAGTAAATTCTCGATAAACGTTCGAAGGCTCCTCGGAACTAACAAGAGGAGGTTCCCAGGTGTAACGCCGACATTTTAATGAGGCTTAGCACAGTGATAGAGCTTAGAATTCTGAAGCAAATGATATTTGTTCCAACCGCAAATGGCCATTAGTTTATGAAATATTTAATGTTCAGTGTCGAGGAGCCTTCGAACACTCATCGTGGATTCACTGTACACTACAGTTTCGTTGTTCTCCAACCGTTCAAGCTTTTCTTCGTCACCCAACGAGAAAAACTTTCCAAGCAATAATTACGTCGGACACCCTGTACATACGGGCAACGGCGTTCGGGGAGCGCGCACCAGCTGTGGTCCGCTTGACGAGTGGGTCCCTTCGTGTGTGTGCGTGCGTGCGAACGGAGCAGTTATATACGTGCACTATACTCGTCGCTCTTGTACGTTCCCTCGTGTGCGCGCGAATCAGTGCACACTCTAGTGC